TTATGGCCCCTATAAAAATAACAAAATTAAGTTAAAAAAAAAAAAAAAAAAAAAAGCTCAATTTTCACTGCTGAATGGGTTATCCTATTTCAAAGACACAAAGCCAAACCCAGAGACATACTATACCAGTCCAACAATATCAGAAATATGAATACATAAGCCCCGTAATTATTTTCAAGCCATTTAAACAACAAAGACTGTCATGCAGCTTCTCAGGATGGAGTCAGGGGCCGCTGCATCTAGATTTAAGCGCTGCTTGGATTGCGCATAAATTCTTGTTCAGACAATGAAAATGTGATTGAATTTCAAGCTATGCTTGCCATAAATTTCAGAAGAAATCAACCTTGATACAACTTTCAAAAGCACAGACCACTCTACTTAGTTTGATACAGCCAATTTTCTCACAGAGCTGCCGATTTCAGACATCTGTTCAACCGTTTATTATATGCAATTTTGAAAAGAAATAAAATAAAGATTTAGATTAAGAGGTGAAAATAAGTCTCACAGAGTCACTCAAGCCAAAACCATAAACACTAGCAAGATTTTGACCGAGCAGTATAATAAGCTACTGAGTCAAACATGTAACACAACTGAATTTAGCCATTTAATAGGACGTATTATCTTCTACATACTCTTAGATGGTCTCTACTGGTTTCTGTCCTAATAAAGGCATATTTGGATATTGACTTCTGGGTCACGGGGAAAGAAAGCTGGAAGTGTTCCACGGTCTTGGATTCTTTGACAAACACACCTTGCTAGCACATGTTACTGAAACAGTGAGCTAATTAGCTTAAACAATAAGGTTTACATTCACTGACGTACATACCTTCAGAGGAGCTAAAGATTTCAGGCTTTACTCTACACTTCCACTCATTTTTCCGTCTTTTTTACATTCGTATTTATTTTAACAAGGCTCTAGAGAAAGTTTGGCAGCTGGCACTCCAGATAGGATTTCTCTTTGTTCATATGTTGGCAGCACACTTTTTAGACATTTTAGGCCATTCAGACGCTTGGTGTGCTTGAGGTTTTACTGAATATCATTTCAATTCAACATGGAATCAATATTGATGCTATTTACATTATTGATACACATTCCTAGTTTTATTGTGTGTGATTCATCAGTGCATGTTATTCTAAAGGGAAAATAATGTTTGTCTTTGTAATCTTTGTAATCAAAATGCAATAACTCAGAAATGTATTTTTTGCCTGACATAACTTTGGCTGTACATGCTATTGGAAAAAGTTAACTGATAGCCAAATAGCTATTTAGACATTGTTTTATTTTTCATAGACACTGACCTCTACATTTGACAACCACAAAATGCCCAAATACTTCAACACTGTATATACTATTTACTTTAGGTAGATACAAATATGCAAAATTAGAGATTATATTTAGAGAATATAATTTATTTATTAATATATTTTATTTGTAGGCTATATTTTATTGACTTAAAACACCTTTATGAATGTATAATTATTAATTATACACTTTTTTTTATCTTTTATTAAAATTAAACACCATTTTATGATCAAATACAACAACATTCAAACTTTTCTCTTCTTAAGTGTCCAGATCCGTTTTTGGGTCACTGTTGGTTTGAGTTTGAACCATGTATTCAATCTAAATGAGGCACATACAGTTCATTCTCCCAACAATAACAGACCAGAAGAAGTATCACGTTGCATAACAGACAAATGTGAAGTATGGGGCATAAAGGTCTCTTGACGTACAACAGCAGCATGACCTGTCTTATATTTCGCAAAATGTGGCGTCTCTAACCCCTAAAGGCAGTTGAAACAGGTCAGCTGAGACAAATGTGCTTGTTTTTAAAGCCACGTTGTACAAAATATTGCTTTCAGTGATAATCAGTCTTTGAAAACCAACAATGAAAATAACTACCATTAATTCATCTATTTGTTGAACTTTCGACATTTTCTTAAAGGAACAATTCACACACAAATTATATACTCACCCTCGTTGGAACACAAAAGGGAATGCATGTTTGTTTTCCACTTGTTTGCTTTAAACATGCCCTGGCTAACAATGCCTACATTTCAGACAGATTTATTGATCAGCACCAGAAAATTACCGTGGAGCAGAAAGCAAAGCCTGCAATTTTCTCTTTCTTCTCAATAATGGGCCGTTGAATCAGATCATTGAATCTTTCTTAATTCCAGCACAGAAAGTCCTATTCAAAACTCTGCGATAGAAATCATTTGCTTAGTTTCTCGGCTGTTTAAACTGCATCTCAAAGCATAAACGTGGCGTTAATCATTCTGTGGTTTCAGGAGAAAATGCTGATGCTGTTCTCTCATATGCTACTATGGGTTTGTGAAAAACAGGTCTTAACTAACAACAGCTTGTAAGAGGCTGCAGGGGGTGACATCAGAGATTTGAACAAGAGCCAATCAGCAGTCAGGGGGAGCCTAGTCCTACAAGAAAACTGCAAACTTATGAAAAATCTACTTTTTTCTGCAAACAGGTATAGGCCTGTTCACAGTGGCATTGAAGGGGCCTAAAAAAAGAAGGTTACAAAAGCCTATAGCTTGAAGAGAACGAATGAGCTTTGCTTGCCAAAAACACCAGATTAATTCAGCACTATATACAGCGCCCGTGTGCACTTAGTGGCTTTGAGATTAGTGTTTTAAGAGCCAACACATGGACGTGGATCACATTTCAGAATTTATGTGCACAGAAGTTCATTTTTTGAGACCAGAATCTAAGGCAGAGTAGAGCAGAGCAAAAATTAAACACAACTGAGAATGAATCACTCTGTATTTTGTATCAAACATTAATTTTCATCATATGGAATGTCTGAGGAAACGCAAAAAATGGTGAACAATGAAATGGTGAACACACATGATGGCCTTTAACACTGTGTTTAACCCCAAGTAAAGGTAGGCCTACGTGTCACACTTGTAATTTAGAAGCGGGGGTAGCAGCGCTTTTTACCTGGGGTTGTTAAAGCAGCTCTTTTCTGGCGTTAACCCTACATTGCGGTGCCAAACTCGTGCAGTGTGAACCGATGTGGTCCTTGTTATGGCTCGACACTTAGGTACCGACAGCCAATCGCTTGTCTCATATTCATGCTTTAACCCTCTGGTATTGTTCATTTGGGAGACACACTTACGTTGTTCGCGTCCAAAAGTAACCAGGCACCTGAAATGTAACTTTTTTTTATTTTCAGTCAAATCAAATTAATATATTTTTGTTCAATAATATTTGTTTTATTTTGTATTTTGAGAGAATTTCATGGTACTAATTAAAATGTATGCAATAATTATTATTAATTTTCCCCAATAATGTTTTTTCTAATATTTTCTATTACTTTTCAATTGTGGCAGTATTTCATGTTAAAATAGAGATAATGCCTTTAAAATCCAACTTTAAGTCAGATTAGTGCCATCTGTTTGGAGTAAAAACTACATTGAACTACAAGAAACTACATTGGCAACTATATTCCTATATAGCTCAAAATAAAAGGCTTATAAATTCTCTAGTTGTTTTTAGACATCATTTTTTTTTTTTAAGTTGTGGATTTCGATATATATTTAGACATTCTCAAAGACAACTTTATGCAAAGGTTTAGATTTTTTTTTTTTTTTTAAATATTGATTTGAAATGCCAGTTTTTGCATTAATCTTACTAGTCAAACCTGAACACAGAGAAAGACATTTTAAATAAAAAAGTTTAAAAAATTTAACAAAAATGAACAGGAATGCTTTATCAGAGATTAATCAATCTGAATTTCAACCTCTTATTTGAGTCTTCTGGCTCAATTTTGCCATGTTGCTACACACCAGTTCATTTGTGTGTGTAAGTGAGTGTGTGTGTCTGTTTTGTACTGATGTTTTAGTGTAACCCCTTCCTTGGTGTCTGTGTTTTTACTCCATTGTGGTTGAATTATCGATTTTATTTCACGCATTTGCAGAAACATGCTTTGTGTTACAGTCACACTAGTTCATATATTTATGTCGTCGGTGGGGGGTGGAGGGTGTCTGTTTTTGCACTCTTGATATTTTAGTGTCACCCTTTCATTGCTGTGCACATTTTTTCTGTAAATGATATAGCTACTAATACGAGGATGCTAGAATCGTTATGGAAAAAGGTTGCGTGCTGCGTTCGTCCAATCAGTGACACTTACGCAAATATGCAAATAAGAACGTTAACCCGGGAAATGCATGCACAGTGTGACACGTTAGCTTATGAATAAACAGCATTCATTTTTAATCCGGGCAAATTATGAGCAGTGTGAAACGTAAAGCAAAATAACCCTGGATTTCATTTACCTGAGCTTTAAAATGACCCAGGGTTAACGATTTCAAGTGTGAAAAGCCCTATGTAGGCCACTTCTTTTATTAGGACCCTATAATATTCACATTAAATGGTTGTACTTACAACACTTGTACTCCAATTACAAAAAAATTGCTCATAACCTTAATTTAAGGTAAAAAGGACAACAGCGTGGGAGCCTTAGCACAGTCCCATTATTTTATATTTTAAATCAAAATCTAAGTCATTTGATTTACTGAAATGCTGCCCTTGTGCAAGCGCAAATCTACACAGTGGGTTCATTTCTAAGTCTGACTCAGAATTCTGACTCGCTAAAAAGAACTGGTTCAAAAAAGACGTATTCAGTCCCTGGCAAATGCAAATACACACTCTCTGGAGGTTGTACGGAAATAGCTCTGCTCTCCATTGGCAATACATGCATGTGCCTGTAATGTTTAAAATAAGACTGTCATAATGCTGGAAATAGATCATTCACAGGTGTGCAGGTGCTTACATTTCAAACTATTATTTACATCATGTAGAAAAAAAGACTTGAACAAAGTTGGACAGCTTTGAGCTGCAGTCTTGAGTGCATATTGTAGTACAGACATCACAAAGTAAACAGAAACAATGAGACTATGTTTGCATTTGCATATAAAAAAACAGAAGCCAAGATGTAATTCTCACATCTTCAGTCCCTTCTTCTTTAAATCCAAATGTTTAAAATAAGACTGTCATAATGCTGGAAATAGATCATTCACAGGTGTGCAGGTGCTTACATTTCAAACTATTATTTACATCATGTAGAAAAAAAGACTTGAACAAAGTTGGACAGCTTTGAGCTGCAGTCTTGAGTGCATATTGTAGTACAGACATCACAAAGTAAACAGAAACAATGAGACTATGTTTGCATTTGCATATAAAAAAAACAGAAGCCAAGATGTAATTCTCACATCTTCAGTCCCTTCTTCTTTAAATCCTCTTTGGCTTCTTTTATTTGTGCTTGCAACTCTTTGGCCGCGTCCTCACAGTCATTAAACGTGGCCACACGGTAGCTGACAGCTGCCAGTGAATAACACCCAAACGCCACCAGCAGATATACAGGCATGGGCCATGCCAGCTCTCTATACTTGGGAGGCAACTGCAAATCAAGGAGGTCAAAGGTAACGAGTCCCCATGCCACACCAATCAGCGACACACCAAGAAGCCACTCCAGAAGCTTGGTCATTGTGATGAAGTTTGTGGGACGGTAGAGGGCTAAATTATAAATGAAGAATCCACCTGTGAGGATAAATGAGTTTCTGTTAGACAGTTCTGTTTCACATATTATGCTTTATTGTAGAAAGCACACACTGTAAAACTTAATTAATTTTAAAGTGGCCATTTATGTTTGGCAATACATGAAACACTGTATGAAATAAAAACATTAATATATTTATACTACATTACCAAGAAACCATTTCATGAAATGCATTCGATTAAAGGTGATAATCAGAATGTCTACCGCTAGTGTTTGAGACAGGCGAAATCGGATGATAAAGAAATCACAGATGTATAAATATTACAGAAAAATAATTGTAAATATACACCAGTTGTTTAAAATTCGCATTGATCCTCACTCGTATTGAACAGCTAGCACGAATGCTAACGATTACATGGTGTTTACAAGGAAATCTGACAAACAACGCTAAACGGAGGCAATATTTTAGCTTAGTAACAATGACCATCTCCCAAATATTAAATACGCACATTGAAAATGCACTGATAATATTGAAACACTCTCTCTAACCCGCTGTTCAAAGCCAGCTCACCACTTTAGGAATAATAACGCAGGTTGATGACGTGGATGCCGAAAAGCATTATGGAACATGCAGTGTACTTCAAATATTTACTACAAAACTAAATTCGTATAATCTATTCTTAAACCTGTTTCAGTATTTTTAAAACTGTCTGTTTGTCTCTTAAATATTAAAAGAAAAGAAAAAACAAAGTAAACAAGATGTCTTTTTATTTATTTTATTTTATTTATTTATGAATATTTAATAAAGAATTTACAATCATCTGGATTAGATTACAATTTTACAAGATTACAATAATCTCTGTGTTTTGGCGCGGTTCAGTGTCTTGTAGATTCCGCGGGAGACATCCGCCCATTCAGCGCACAGAACAGACGCGAGTCCGTGACACATCACACCTCCTCACCAGCCAAAAAAGGTATAAACATCGCTCACAGACAGCACTGAGGCTCCTAAAAAAACATCACCCTCACAGCAAACGCGAGGTTATTTTTAGTGATGTTTACACTTGTCAGCGAGTGTCTCTTTCAATGCTGCAAGTGGTTGTAAAGAAGAAATGTAACAAAACAGGGCATTTGTGAGGGGTTTGGCAGCTTTTTAGTTCAGCACTACCTTTTATTACTATCTATCTATCTATCTATCTATCTATCTATCTATCATTCTGTCGTTATCTATCTATCTATCTCGTTATCTATCTATCTATCTATCTATCATTCTGTCGTTATCTATCTATCTATATCTGTCTATCTATCTATCTATCATTCTGTCGTTATCGATCTATCTATCTATCTATCTCATTCTGTTGTTATCTATCTATCTATCTATCTATCTGTCTGTCTGTCTGTCTGTCTGTCTGTCGTTCTTTCGTTCTATCGTTCTATGTCTGTCGGGACAGTAATGACTGTGATTCTTTTCGCAATGGTTGTGACTCTTTGCTGCCTGGGCGTTTGCGTAGGAGTACGTGTTCAGTGAGCAGAACGTACACCAAGCGCAGTGGGAAAAAAGCAAGTTGGCCGTTCACAGTGTTTGAGACTGCCAGTCCCCGGCTCTCCAGCTCAGGAAACCTGTGATCCAGCAGAGAGCGGTTGGCAGACACAACAGAACAGGCTGCACTGAGACGGAGGGGGTGATGGAGCGAGCGAGGGTGTGAGGAGAACAACTTAAAGAATGAGATGAGAAGATGAAGGTCGGGCTCGGGGCAGGGACACGACTCTTAAAACATTCTGCAGTGGCATCAGTCTGTAAAACGTTTTTTTTGTTTCCAATTGGGAACTTTGTTCTGAGAATGTGGAAGCTTCTTTGGTGAAAACACAGAGAGAAAGTGGAGAAATAGTGACCACCGGCAGCTGAATGAGAGGAGGGGCTGCTGGATTTGGTGAGGAGCGCTACAGGTGCAGACTGGTCAGCCGTTGACCTTAATGGTGCATTAAATCCAGATGCTTAAATAGCTTACATGCTTAAACCCTGGTCCCCTGCCACCACCCAGCGAGAAGAGATCTGCTCTCTAAGTCTGAGTGTGTGTCTGTGTGTGTTTGGGTAGGTTTACTTAGCTACACTTTGGGTCCAAAATTATCTCCATGCGTGCACTAAATTGGACAAAGACTTATTTTGAGGGCATCAAATTCTCCCATGCACAATTGAAAAACATAAATTTAAAAAATTTAAAAAAAAAAATATATATATATATATATATACAGTATATGGGGTATTTTTATACTGTTTATAAAAAATAAAGTTTTTAATAAAAAAAACTTTTATGACCAAGCCTGCATATACTGTATTTGATTAAAACTATAATATTGTAAAATATTATTACAATTTAAAATATCTCTATTCTAATTCTGTTCTTTAAAAAAAACTTGCCTTGCTGTTTGCAAATATTTGAACTGATCTAACATATGTACACAGATGTGATTTTGATGGAATGTATCTACGCTATTCAGACTCAACTGGCAGGATCTGCCGTCATTTTCCAGTATCTGTGTATGTTGGAGGAATGGTCCCATTATTCTTGTCTTCAGTCTGAAAAGCGTTCCTCAGTTAGCCTCAGTGCTGGCCAAATCCTGACACGGACAGTCAAGATGTCTGAGCGGTGTGTTTTTGGTCTGAGCTTTGATCTCCTACGCAGTGGGTTTTTGGGCATTTTGTGGATAGTTTTTCATAGAAGTCAAACGCTTCATTAATGAAGACAACTGAGCAAGAGACAGCCGGACTCATTAATATTCACAGTATGGAGGAAATATAAACAGCATAAATTCTAACCTGACGTTCAGTGCCTAAATACAAAGTCAGAAGGTGTATGCGAGTCTAAGCAAGGGATTTGTGCCCTTCCTGTCAAAGCCCACCTGTTTCTGCTTCTGCCGTGGAAAAAGACCAGAGAGACAAAAAGGATGGAAAGAAAGACATATGGAAACAGGAATGTGCTTTTCTCAATCCCCATGTCAGCAGTTCTATGGTCTATTTTAGAATCCCACAATGCATCTGTTTCTGCACAATTACACTGCAATATAACAAAGAGTGAAAAATTTAAGGGGGTCTGAATACTTTCCGTACCCACTGTATATATATTAGGATGCATTAAATTGCTCAAAAGTGACAGTGACGGCTGTTATAAAATATTTATTTTTTAAATAAATGCTGTTTCTTTTAACTCTATACTCTTAAAAAATCCTATCACAGTTTTCATGAACATATTAAACAGTGGCAAAGGGCATCTCAAAATATTTAACAGTGACAAATTACAATAATAAGAAATGTTTCTTGAGCATCAAGTCAGCATGTTAGAATGATTTCTGAAGGATCATGTTACACTGAAGACTGGAGTAATGAGGCTGAAAATTAAGCTTTGCCATCACAGGAATAAATTGCATTCTAAAATGTATTCAAATAGAAAACAGTTATTGTAAAAAAAAATTTTTTTAAATCACAATATTGTTTTTACTGGATTTTTCATCAAATAAATGCACCGGATGAGCATTAGAGGCTTCTTTCTAAAACATTAAAAAGAAAAATATATATATTTTAAATAAATATAAAAATGAAATATAAATAAAATATAATTACAAATATAAAAATATATATATACATTTTAATAAGACAAACAAATACACCACAATAGGGATTTTAAATATATATTTTTTTTAATTCCAGAAAATTAAATAACAAATTGCCATAATGAATCATAGGACCACAAAATGTTCCCAGAAAATGTTGGATTTTTTAAAAACGGTAAACATTTCTTCCCGTTCTTGGCAGGAACATTTTATACTTAATGATTGGCTCACCATCAACATCTGTACAGAAATAATTAATCTGTCTCAGCAATATTTTTGTGTCCGGCTTTTTAAAAACATCCCTTTATGAAGGCTTGATTTTACCTAGCTGTGTTCAATTTCTAAAAGTATAACAGTTTTGAGAAAAACTGCATGTTTTGGTACCAGCAGAACACCTGGTGCTAGTAAAGAAAAAAAAAACTGTACAGAATTTTTAAAAGTAAAAATAGCGGCAGTTCTTGTGACGCTTCAGTTTATGTTTTGAACTGAGAAGACATTGAATTGCTCAAATATAAACATATGTAAATGATTGGTGCAAATGTTGTGAATAAGATTCCTTACAGTGCATTGTTTCATATTCAGATAAATACTGCATTCAGAGACTTTTATTGTTCTTATTGTTTGTTTTTGGTGAATCTGAGGTCAATCACTGTGTTAGCAACAGTATAATGGCATACTACTGACATTTTGTTTGAAGTATGCATGCCATACATACAGTGCGTCTGTATATAACTCTCAGATGACATATTAAACTTGACAGTGCTTACTAGCTGCAGTGCTCTAGCCTCTGTTGGAAATTACATTGACATTGAAACTTTAAACCTGACTCGCATCCAGAAATGTGACAGCTGTAGGTTTGGTATTGAGATACAGTTTAGCAGCCTACTAAAAATCAATCACTTTGCACTCTGTGTACTCTGCTGTAAACTATTGTCACTGCATAAGTGCTACATGAGCTTAAGTCATTCTGCTGTAGTGTAAAACAAGTGTACTTAAAAGTATGAAACACTTTTGTGTATGAAAGCACTGAAGACCCCTAGAAACACTTTGAAGTCACAAATGTTTCAAATCTGCGTCATTCTGAGCTTGCAAACACATCTATGAAAGCATATGTTTGCATATTTGATCTCTGTTGGAGTCCCAGAGTGTCACTTGAGCATGTAAAATGCCCCAGAGAGCTGTATTATATTGTTATTGAATATAACTCGATATGACAGCATGTCTATTGAGAGCTCTTTTCTTCTGGTCATTTCACGCAGAACGAACAAAACTACAGCCTTCCTATATGTCACACATTGGGACGGGAAACGCTCGGGGCTTGAACAAAGCCTTTTAAAAGGAACATCTCACTCTCAGATGCTACAGGCCAATCATCTGATTCCATTACTGTGTGAGCTTCATGCCAGGTCTCTGTTCCCTCTCAAAACTCAGGTGTGGTCCAGGGTTATGAAGCCTGCTTTTATAAAACAATAAACTAGACACTGTCATATTTATTTTAGCAAGGACAATTCTGGCCCATCCTCTTGTTTTGATTGGCATGAGCTCTCGCCATCCCAGAAAGTGACATTAAAATGGAAAAGGCGAGCTGGGAAAATATGCTCAACAGAAGTGAAATGGAATGAAAAGAAAAATCTTTGACCATAAACTATTCAGGAAAATATGCTAGTCTGAAATTTCAACGTGTTGGGGGCATTTGGCCATTAAAAAACAACCATTATTATTTTACATTTTCATTTATTTAATGTTCAGTATTTATTTTATTTATACTTTATATACAGTATGTGTGCATGAAAATATTATGAATATTAAAAATGTAATCGAAAAAATATATAATTATAACAATTAATACAGTTCTTTATTATTATTATTAAATGTAATTTTTTGAAAAAAATTCATCATTTTCATATAGAAATATATAAGTATATGAAAATATTAATATTAAAATGTAATATAAAAACTACACATATAAATATTTAATTATAACAATACAATTATTTATTATTATTTTT